CGGTGTACTGAAATGGCGGCCGGATAATCTGGTGTCGACATTCTTGGCGCTCCTTGACTTTTCCGACGTTTTTATTGGAATGGGAACGTGTTAGAGATCAGGCCGGGTGGAAGGGAGCTGAATTTTAGAACGTTTTGAAGCATTCTCGATCCCTTTAACCCAGAACTAATAGGACTAGAAAGTTAAAAGTTCGAATAGATACAGCGGTACTGGACTGTTAGCGGGGGGGGGAGTTCCAGTAATTCCGTACAGCCCTATAGCGAAACACAGACCATTTTTATCGAATTTTAGTCAGTTTTGAGATATAAAAAGTTATAAAAATATATGAAATTTTCGCAACAAAAATGTATGACAGTGAAAAAAGAAAAAAAACGAAAAAATTTTATAGTATTTTTATAACTTTCTAGGAATCAAAATTTTTTGAAAACATTATAAGAATAAATTTAAGTGCTTTTAGACGTTTTTGATGGGTTTTGCACCCACGAAAAAATAGCTCAAGTGGTGGAAACGGCAACCGGCAATGCGGGGATCGTTGACTAGTGAGAGGATAAAAATAGAGGCAAAAATTGTGTAAGCTTCGTCTTCATAATTTTCTACGAATTTCCGTGTAGCAGGGGTTGACTGTCGCCGGCCGACGCCTCCGCGGGCCCCTCCTTCAGCGCGCCGCCCGAGATCGCGTAGCACCAATCTGGAATTTCATTCAAAGGGTTATTGCAATTTTTTGATACTGTTTCATCGTGGCTATTTTTGCAGATAATCTACGGTGCACAGGGGCGCAACATCGATACCGGAAATAGGGCTTGTTTTCCAATTTCCGTGGCTAATAGGAAAAAAAGGTGGATGAACAGGTGAAGTTGTGCTATTTCTGGGAGTTCTGGAGCTCGACTTTCGCAATTAACGCTGCAGTATTATTCTGGAAGCTTTAGTAAATTGTAGAAATTTCTTTGATATCTAAAGAAAGTATCTGAACTATTTTTAATAATCTTAAACGTAAAAACTGCATGGTTTTGGCCCTAAAATATCGATTTTTCGACTAAAAATGGCTGATTTTGGAACAAAATTGCAAGTGTCTAAACAGTTAAATATTTTTTATTTATCATTATTTATTGAATTCAAGTTTTAAAATATTAATGTATTTTAAAAATAAAATAAACCTAAAAACTTGATGGTTTTGATCCTAAATTATCGATTTTTCGACGCAAACGGACTGTTTTTTCGGGAATAACTTCATCGTTTTAAACGTTTTAAAAGTTTTATTAGTGATCAAACTAAAACCTTAAAAGATTAATCCATTAAAAAATTCAAATAAACTCCTAAGAACATTTTTACGCCCAATCCACGCTCAGATTCTCCCGGGAATGCCCAAAGATCACACCACGCCACCCGAATTCCTCAGCTTTTTTTTTCTGCGTGAGGTGGCTTTGGCCCCTTGCCCCGCAACATTCTGGAATGGCCCCCAAAAACCCCCATTTCCCTAATCAAATGCCGCCCCTAAAAAGTCATACATCCCGGACCAGCCCCTCACCACCCGCCGCAACACCACCCGAATTGGGGGTAATTCGATGAACGGCACTTGGGGCGGCTGAATGGAAATACCGACGCTGCCAGATCCCAGCCAACTTTTTGCCCCCCGCTGACAAACAAACAATTGGCTAATAGGGTGATGGCTTAGAGGGCAAATGTTCCGGTGAAGCCGTGGGGCATTTTCTAGCGGAATGTCGAAATGTATTGATTGCGAAATTTCATAATGCCGAAATTCACAGTGTCGAACGTGCAAAATGTCGAAATTCGTAATGTCGAATTTCAAAATGCCGACATTCATACTTTCGTAATTTCATAATATCGAAATTTCGTGCTGTCGAAATTCGTAGTGTCGAAAGCTCAAAATGTCGACATCCATAATGCCGAAACTTCAGTGTCGAAATCTTTGGGAAAGTTTTGGGGATTTTTCGGGAGATTTTTTCAAGGAGATTTCAGTTTCTTTCATTTTTTTGGGAGACTTGCTCAAGGAGATTTTATCGATTTTTTTTAATTTCAATAGCATAAATTTCGGCATTATGAAGGAGAAGCGGACGCGATGAATCGAAATTGCAGATTTCTTTTTGCTGTTTCCTTGTCTTTTCTTCTTCTGCGCGGCATAGATAATTTTTCTCAGGTTTTTCGCATAAAAAGGCTCGATATTTTTTTATTTTCAATTTTTTGTAGTTTATGCCTCAAAAAAATAGAAATCCCGACGCAAAGATTGAAAAGCTGCGCCCCGGGCGTTCCCCCCTAAACCGCGCCCCCGCCCCCCGTAATCCACCTAGGCCGTCAAATGTCATTCAAGACAAGGCGTTTGTTTTTCCCGACCGCGCTTTTTCCGCTTAAGCGATTAGCGGCGGCGGATCAGTGATGACTCACATGTCATAATTCCATCCTTGGCAACGCTTCGGCCGCATTTTTGGGCCACGGAAACCCTAGGCAAATCAGTGTCTTTATGGCTGATTGTCTGGCTTGCCATGTCGTTTTTTTTCGCCGACATTTTCGGGGCGTTCAGCACGATTCCCGGGGCTAGGCAGGCGTCTCTTTTTTCACCTCAAAGCCGCGACGGCCGGGAGCTAATAAACGCCAGGCCAGGGTTCCTTCATATGGCGTCGAGCGAACGGCTATTTCGGCCTGATTCAGGGGCCCGGAAGCGACTTCCCAAAATCCTGGTTCTGGTGCGTTAGCGGGGGGAGGGGGTGCGTATCCTCTTTTTATTTAGCCTAACTACATAGTACTCAAACGAAACTATCAGGTTGGAAAGAAAGTAATGGCACAAAATCTTTAAACCGCTGTAAAAACCCGCAGGAACGTCCGATTCGAAAGTTTGTTATATGGTTTGGTAGATCTTCGGCGGCTCTATCACGAGACGACCCTCAAAACGCACAAAAACTGACGGACGCGAAGATAGAGGCCTCAGAAGTTTCGCAGAAAATTAGGTGAAAGCTTCCAAGCGAGATATCTCTGCATACAGGGATTTGTATACGATACTTTCAACACCAATCGATAGCCCTCGAGGAGTAGATATTGATAAATGTTGAGATCATCAAAATCGCACACTGGATGGCCAAGATATGCCCCCTAGAAATTTGGTCCACTTCTTAGAACTTTTCTCGAAATCCCATACATTTAGGCCTTCGCGAGCCAAAAACTGCTGCGTTTGCTTCAGCTCCCGAACCAAAATCCAGAAAATGCATTGATTTTGGAAGGCCCATATCTCGGCCATCCAGTGTCCGATTTTGATGATCTCAACGTCTATCGATATCTACTCCTCGAGGGCTATCGATTGGTGTTGAAAATATCGTATGCAAATGCATATATGCAGAGATATCTCGCTTGGAAGCTTTCACCTAATTTTCTGCGAAACTTCTGAGGCCTTTATTTTCGCGTACATTAGTTTTTGGGTGTTTTGAGTGTCGTCTTGTGATAGAGCATCCAAAGATCTACCAAACCATATATCATACTTTCAAATCGGACGTTGCTTCGGGTTTTTACAGCGGTTTACAGATTGTGTGCCATTACTTTCTTTTCCAACCTGATATTTTTGTACTGTTTCTAGTCGTTCCCACCGATTAGAAAGTTATAGAAAAATTAAACTGTTTTTACTATTCCTAAACAAAAAATTTTACCATTAGATTAAAACATGCCAAAAATATAGATTTTTCGACTAAAAATGGCCGATTTATAATCAACCTGAAAACATTTTTCACCAAAATCGAAAAATTTTCGAAAATGGCAAACACTTTTAAAGCTTTTTATTTCATGAAAACAATAAATACTATTAAAATACCTTTTTCAATTATAAGACACCTACGGAAAATTGGAAAACGTGTTAATCCCCGCTAATGAACCAGAGCCTTTCCGAAGCCACGCTTCTCACGCGCCGTGAAAATATTTGAACCTCTTTGTTCATCCACCCCCTAAATAACCCAGATTTCCACCCATCTCCTTATAGTTACTAGGCAAATTGTTCCGCGTACCCCCCCATTCAATTGTAGCGGCGCGTCCGTAATTAGGCGCCAAGCGGAAATCTATCATACGCGCCGACGTAGATTCGCCACGAGTTATTTGTCACCCCCCCCCCCTTCGTTCCGCTCAAAACACGGCCTATCGTTTCGCGCTTTTCTCGAAAAATCGCTTCGAATATCGTCGCTTTTGTTTCGCCGAAAGCGGGGGATTCTATTCATTTTAATGGGGATCGAAGACAAACATTTTTCGATGGAGAGAAGCCGCATTTTTTCGGTTTCTCCGGTCTTGTTCTCCCGCCCAACGGATTAAGCCATTCATTCACTGAATCTCGATCGGGCAGAGTTAAAATGTGGGTTATTGTGGGTGATGGTTCTGGTTCGTTATCAGGGGGGGGACTAACTTCCTTTATTCAGCTTCAGCTCCATTTTTATTTGTAGTGCTCCACTTCAACTCCTTGGAACCTTTTTTCTTCGGATTCAATTTTCAAATATAAATTGCGGAAAAGTCTCTAAACTGTTATTTACGATTCCTAAACGTAAAAACTTTACTTTTTCAGAGCTTTTATATAGTTTGTAGCTGTCAAATAATCATTAAAAGCACCAATAAAAATACCTGATATTAGGTTACTAAACATTCTTGACTGATACAAAAAAGGCACTTATCGAGTAGCGCCTCCCCCCCGCTAACAAACAAGCACCTTGGATGAATGGATCCTCGCTACCGTGCTTTTTTGGGCAATTTCCGCGACTGTACGCTGAGCGGACGGGGTGTGTTTGGCTGCGCGCCAATTCCCGGGCGATTGTGGCCCATCAGACGGGCCGAAATGTCAATAGAATAATGGCCCGAAAACGACCCCGGTTGATTGGGTGATCATTCTGGGGGGCTTGGTGTGTCACCCGGGTGGTTGACATGCGCGCTACTACGTAAAAATTCCCTTTTTTCTCATTTTCTAATGTTCTATCCTTTTTTTATCGCCGAGAAATACCGAAAAATCCAAAACTTTTCCAGAAATGCGCGCCGAGCTACATCTACTAAAGGGATGGTTTCTGTACGCCATGCTCCAATGGACAGACGCGTTGTTGTGCTACGATTCCTCATTTCCAAGTCCACACTCGACGCACGAGTGTTCGGATGGAATGGTCAGTACTAGCGAAAAGTAAAAAATAGGTTCTTTCGCATTATCGAGGGGGAGGGGGGACTTTTTCCACTTCCAGAAATGCCTAGTAACGAAACAGTAAGTGTTTCGCTACTATTTTTAGCAAAACTTAACGATATTTTAAGTTAAATCAAGGGATACTTTAAAAAATTTTCAATTTTTCTCGAAAAGCGGACATTTTTGTTCGAAAAATTTATATTTTTTGTATTTTAATGAAGTTTTAAAAATCGTACTTAGAAAATAGTTGCTCCGCCGATAATGCGAAAGAACCAAAACGTAACTTGTCGCCAGACTAAAGTTACGTTAATTATTCTAGGTGTGCTACCAAGAGTACTACGCGATAGCCCAGGGCAACGACCGGGTCGACCAGTATTTCGAGCGTTTCTGCGTGGCTAGGCGCGAATGCCGGATGCGCGGCTTCCACGGCGTGTGCACCAACTTTGACTCGTTCGATCCGGCCATCAAGGTACGCCAAAATTAATCAAATTACCTGGTTCTTTTGCATTATCGGGGGGGTGGACCGAAGGGCTGTTGAATCCTTTTTTGAACATTTTCGAATTGGCTATAGTTTTTGCACTTGTCATACTACTAGATTTTAGCAAAAACTTTACTAGTATAAACTTAGAAGAAAAAATTAAACCTCCCATTACAGGATACCTTTGAAAAGTACCGCCTCCACAACAAAGGCGTCAATCGGACAGCGCTGGCCTTTTCAAAGTAAGTTAAAAAATATAAAACTGATAGTAAAGGGAAGAGTAAAGCAAACAATTCCTTAAAAGAACCCAAACACATTCAGATTCTGTTGCTGCGATACGCCCCTATGCAATTCGTTCGATGCCGGCGCGGCTGAACGAGAATTTCAGCTGACGGCCAGTGGCGCCATCAAATCCCAGATTTTCGGAATTACACTACTTTTCACCGCACTTCGATGGCTTCTCTAATTAATAGAACTTAAAGTGACTTTCCTATACCTTGGATATTTATCAACCCCCCTCTCCAAATTGAACCCATCATAGACAAAAATCTCCAAAATTCTCAGTTCCCCCGGCCACTACTCACCAACCACAAACGGGTGCTCGTATTGTATTAAAATTGTATCGATTTTTCATATATGCTTTTGTGAATAAATTAAATACATGTATCTGCCTTTGGGCCCACCTTGTTGCAGAAATTGGGTATCACCCAGCTCGCGCAGCCGCTCAAGCAGCTCCCAGAGTTGACAGGTTTTCTGAAATGTGAAGGGATTGTAGATGCTTGCGCATTAACGGGGGATCTTTTCCCTTGAATCCTATTTTTTAATTTATAAAGGAACTGTTTTTA